ACTCATAGGTTTTTGTTTGTTCAGGAAGAAAACGTCCGTCTGATTTTGTATAGCTCGATAAAGAAGGTACTGAAAAAATAGTGGAATTTTCTCACACATGTAACTACTACACCGAGAATTATTCATTCTGATAGCCCCTGGACTACGAATAATGACTTTATACGATTACCTCCGCCAGTAGTCCAAAATTGAGTCTTATTTAAACTAATGTTGATCGAAGCTGACATGTTTCGTTGCACTACAACACTACAACATCGGCAGAGCTTTACGTCAAAAACATCAAATAATTTAAACGTGCAACGAAACATGTCAGCTTTGATCAACATTAGTTTAAATAAGACACAATTTTGGACTACTGACCTATAAGCCTATAAAGTATACCCAGAAGTTGACTACAGATTTGTTTTAGGCCTTCAATGTTAAGGGTGGGTCTTGAGAAGTAAATACTTATTGTCACAATGACAACAAAATTCAATCCATCCAAAAAAATCATATTTAATTCCTATTTAAATAACATCAATTTAAATGATTACTTAGGTACTGTTTCGGTAAGGTAATATAATACCCCCGCAGCAGCAAACCTGCAGACTATGCGAATTTCCATTTGTCTGATTGGATTTACACTAAAATTTCTCCTTAAAAATATCACATTTATTCCCTATTTAAATAACATTAGTTTAACAAGTACTTAGGTTGCTATAACAGGGAGGGTAAAAAGGTGTTTTTTGTTAAATGTTAATAGTATAGTATGAAATGAATGCATTTTCCAAATTTGATCAAAATATGTTCATAAACAAGCAAACTACAACAGTTTCTTATTCTTCATAAGAATAACATGGGAATTTTAAATTTACAGTTTTTTTGGAATAATTTTCTCCGTAACCATTAGGCGCATAATAACGCTTCAATACACTAAATTATTTGATTTTTCAAGCTCTACAAAATGGTTTGGAAAGAAAGTGCTACATTTTAAGTTTTTAGGGTCACACATGGGAAAACAAATTTTTACCCCATAAAACCCCCCATAAACCCCTGTTCCCATAGTCCGATCATGCTGGTTCGCGAACTCGTTCGAATAAACGTAGGTTTACACGTTTGTACCAAATTTAATAAAAATCGGATGATTTTTGCTTGAGTTGTCGCGCTAACGGACACATATATAAATAAATATATATATGTGAATTTGAACGGATCTAAAAGAGGGTAAATATATGAAAATTATGTTACAATAGCGATCAATTTAGTCCAGCTACACCAGTCATCCGGTGGAACAGCACGGATGACTGGTGTAGAAAGGAAAAGGACCTTCCTTTGGTTGTACATGAATTAATTTCAACCGGACTTTCATTCGTACAGACAACATTTAAACTAAAATTTATCCAATTATTTTGTATTAATCGGTCAATTAATGCTTCCACTTCTTAAACTTTAACCCGCAAAAACGCAAACCAAAAACCACATAAAAGTTTAGGGCGCATATACAAAATTGGAACCAAGGACATTTAAAGCCGTTTATTACGATAACGCCATTATTAATTTTTATTAACGCGCCACAACCCTGTGCGCAGGTCGAGGGGGGGTTTTTATTGCTGCCCGACAAATTGCTTTCAATTAACACCAGTCGTTAAAACTAATTATTCCCCCGAGTGTGACGTCACTTTCCAGCCCCTCCCTCACCCACCCCCCAATGCCTCCCAACCCTGGGGAAATCTTGCCTAATCACCACTCCAGATCCGACACAATTCATTAGTTCCCATTGTTCATTAATTTGTTGTTATATCTCGTTTATAAACTAGCCTACATTTTGTCTCGGAGAAATTGTTGCTACGATGGAAATTGTGACGCAAAACATAGAGAATAGGCCGTTACCATGGTGGTCTATTGTCTGTGCGCATAGCCAATTGTATACTACAATCCAAATAATTTGTATACAAATGCTACAACATCATAAAGTGAAAAAGCACGTAATTCTAGTTCTGTTATACAGGGTGTTTTTTAACGCAACTCAAATTACAAGTACCGCAAGACACTTTATAACGAGAAAACAAGCTCACATATAATTATGTTTTCAACTGCATTGTCAATCAGCTGATATGCATTGTTGCATAGTTGTATATGAGTTTTAGTGTTACAGTATTGGGAATAAGACTCAACATGGTGTTTTCGCAAGCTCAAAGGGTATGTCTTGAACATAAAAAGTAAATAGTTGGTTTCATGCCAAGAAAGGTATGAAATTAAGTTTTTATATGTAATTTCATACAAAAAAAGTCATCCATACATAGAATTGTTAAAATTTGGAAACCGCACCAGTAGAAAACTAAAATCGTAGACCTACAATACTTAGTCTTTTGAGGTGTCGAAAACCACGTAGTCTTAATTATCAATAACATTAAACCTCATAGATATCTATGCAACATTGCATATTAGGTGATCGTTAATGAAGTAAAGGAAACAGGGATGCGCACATATAAGCTGGTTTTGATGTTAAAAGGTGGCTCATGGTAGATTAGTTGCGCTAAAAAACCCTGTATAAATAAATAACTTTTTTATTTTGGTGCGATTTCCATTGTTGAATTTGCTATAGGAAGCACTCAATTTATATACATTTACGATTAATAAACTCTGCTTCTAAACCCAGTTCAAGTGCCTTAATTGACTTTTAGCTAGGACTTTTAATACATCTGGAGTCGTTTAGGACGTTTATACATTGTATATCAGGGAGTCGAAGTAAGAAAATGCAATTGAGTGCGGCGTTCCATAACCTCAGAGCTAGTCTGCAGCGATTTTCTCAAGTAAAGAGGTATTAAATAGGAAAATTTCGTGTATTTCGTGTCTATTCAGAAATTATAGAACCTCAATGGAACAGTTGAAATTATGTTCTAAGCCAACAATATGGTTGAATTCCCTAAGGCCGTCACATTAGTATTTTGTAATCGTGGAAGTTGAAATCATGAAATCATGTAAGTAAAATACAACATTGAAGAGAATATTATGAAGAGAATTATGAAACTATGCACCTCGGGTTCCATTTTAGATAAACATAAATCTAAGCAAACTTGCTTTACAATAATACGGAACATCAAACTAGTATAATCTACTGTATAACGTTTATATAAGTAACATGAATTTTCAAGAAACCTTTAAGGCTGACACCGATCAACTAAACTTAAATGCAAGTTCTTTATGAGGGATCGCTAGCTTTATATTGTTATTTCCGATTAACCTTCTCCTAAGGGGGGGGGGGGGGTAATTAATTAATGGGTTGCATCATCAAATTCAAAATATTTTCCACATCAGCTGTTTACATTTGTTTCTTTACTTTTTCCAGAGATCTTTTGATTCTCGTCATAGATTGTCTATGTTTATTTTTCGATAAAGCTATTAGTTTTGATTTTTCCTCGAATCTGTAAGTAAATAATAAATTACACAGGAGATGGGTAAATTGTTTTATTTGGTGAAAATAGTTGGAAAATTAGATAAATAGCAAGAAGCAATTTTAAATCTTAAAGTGATTGCACTCATAGCACTTTGTTCGTCAATGCGATCTAGCGGAATTTGTTAAAACTAAAAGTCGGTAACGTAGACTGTTGCATTAACGAATAAACAATATAAAATTTAGTTAATAGTTTAATAATATTATGTATAAAATAAAAACTACAATTGACATAATGTCTTGATTTGGCCTATTGTCAAAACGAAAAAGAAATTTCACATGTTCACCAAATAATAAATTTGAAATACTGTAGTAAAAATAAAAGTTGTAGCTATAGATTTTGAGAAGTGCGGATTCATTCTGCAGTGAAAATTAAAACTCAACCACAATTATTTATAGAATTTACTTGATCATACCCAGTATTCATATCTAAATAATCAATATAATACAAACTTGTCAAATTACCTTTAGTTTATGTTTTTTTTTTTAATAGGTCGGTGGACCTTCAGTTTTAAGGTGGCCACCGATCACCACCGGATTACAACGGTTACATCTGTTGGCTACTGTAGCTAATATTTATTGCTTATTATATGTGTGATTCGAACCCATGCGCAGAACAGACGTTTTGCAGGCTAGTTGTTTCCTAGTGACACAAGTTAATTTTAAAGTTGTAAATTAACATTGGTTTGAACTCAAGAGCAGGCATTGAACCGGAGTACCTGAAGAGTATTTAGGATAGTGAAAATCTGTCTTAAGGGTCACACAGTGGTACATTAAAAAAACTTATTTTTATATAAATATTATGGCAACTATTTACATTTGTATAGTATTCCTAATTAATTTCAGAGTACTTCCCTGTCTTTGGGGATTTCGCGAGGATTACAGTACAGTATACTGCTGAATGACCGGGTAGAGCCGGGGATTTTATCATAGGCATGCAAGTACTGTAAAATCATCAAATAAAGATCTTTGAAGACTCCTTGTTTAGGACGATATCCAAGACTTGAAGACTCGTGGAAAGTGTTTGAAATCAGCCTAAAACCTACATGATTTATTATTCTACGTTTGGTTTTGAAATAAATAAACGATTTCGGGACTTTTCCATCCTGTAGAACTAATGTAGGTTTAATTTATTTTAGAAATAGCGTCCTATGGTACGAATTAATTAAAGTAATTTAACTTTTGAAAATACACGATATTTACATTTATTCAAGAAGTATTTTTCATATTGATCCTAAATTTCTGTCTACTGTTAAGTAATCGTTGAATGTTTATTTAGCAGTTTGACCAATCACACAATACCATGTATAGTATATAGTGTATACATATAGTTGTATATAGTATTTTATATAATAGTTTATGTTATAGTAAAGTATATTCAAGGGTACTATAATCATTGCTCTATGAAAACTTCATCTCTATCTTCGTTTAACCTTTTTCACTACGGTACGTAAGAAAAATAAAAATACTCTGTGTGTCAGATGTTTGTTGTTTGTTTGAGTGTTTCTGTTTGTCTGTTTCACTGTTTGTTAAGTATTAGCCTACAATAACAAGTAAAAAATGACACCTAAGTGAGATTATGGAAATGTGAATTATGTAACTTTCTAAACAAATTACCGACACGACCTAGTCAATTCAACAAATATGGTATAGAAATCAACTCAATATAATTATAATGAATGATGAAAGAAATTTCCGATCGCTATACTATGAGAAGGTTGGCTGCAAGAGTGTGGAAGAGAAGAGATCTCTGGAAATGTTGTTCAAAGATAAAACATTGGACAAGAACAAAATAAGTCAGTTTTGCTCAAGATTTACTGTGCCATTTGTGTATAGAAGCTATGTATGGAAATTTCTCCTGGGTAAGGATTCTACCTATTCCATACTAACCTTAGAATGGTACTCTTGTCTAGGCCTAGGCCTATCTAGGTCCTAGACTAGGCATGAGCATTGATGGTTAACCATCGATAGCCTACTCACCATCGATGTAAAGATAACATGTCACAAAAACATCAATGTGCTTAACATGACGTGATGTTTTTTTTTTCATTAGGCTAGCCTATTGATTCTTGATTCCTATGTGCTCTCTGTAATACAACAACTAGGCCTAGGCCTAATTAACCTAAAACTAATACAATTTAGTCATAAGAAACATTGATATTTCAATATTTGGCCTAAAACACCAGTAATCTAGGCCTACCTATGATATAAGAAACGTTGTCTATCACGGTGCTCATCCCTACCCTAGGCCTAACTTCGTCCTTCACTTACAATGACGTTACAAAGCCAATTATCATTATTAACCAAAACCACATTGCCAAAATCCTGATTGTCAGTAGGGCCTATTCTCTCCCTAGCCATAAAGTGACACACTTTACGCTTGTTGCACAAGTCGGCTCCCAAAACGAAATTGTTGAGTGTGCACTTAAATTTCTCGATTTTTTAGAGAAAGAGGTCTTATTATTTTGAGATCGATAGGTAGGCCTACCTTAAACTTACTCACCCCTAACCAAGCTGGGTCCAAGCAAGGCCCCACTAGAAAAAACAGGCCATGCTGCAGGATCCATGACGTCACACTAGTCGATAGATTTCATTGATAAATTCATTGCCATAACCATTCCCATGGTTTAGGTAAATAAACAAGCTGGCCGTGTGTAAGATTTTAATGGTAAGAGCTCAGTAAAAATATCCACCACTGTGACATAGTGTTGCGCTGCCTGTGCTGCAGCATGGCCTGTTTTTTCTAGTGGGGCCTTGGTCCAAGGTCCATCCATAGATCAAACACACTTAGGCCTAATCGTTAATGATAGATGTCAAATTTAACTGTAGCCTACATTTTTGAATTCTTCCAATTTGTTTTTATTGGTTTGGTTGAGAGGAACTAGATGTGCTGCGAAGGTTGATGTTTGTGCGGCTGTGGTTTTCTTGGGAGATGCTCTTTTTTTTAAAACCCCTTTTAGTTACTGAAAGAGCAAAAAGTTTTTCACCCGTGTATGGACAGTCACAAAAAGCTATTTAATAGGCCTAAACGTTGGTTTTTTTTTTAAGGTTGCAGAAAGTTTGTAACTTGGAACACCCATCAATAAATAGCCCACCCAAGCCTTTGTTAGTTTTGAACAATAGGCCTACTGCGATTCTTAAACATAAACAACTGATTTAATATTTCAACAACTTACATTAGACAAATTTTTTTGAAATTTACTGGGATGAGCACTCCTATTGGCCTATATCAATTGATGTAGTTGCGTAATACCCGCTACATTAGTTCAGTATGTGCTCAGCCATCGCCGGGGAACGTTAAAATCGTTGCTAGCCTGTAGCTTAGAATGTGAGCTTTATTTTGGTGTAGGTTGGTACTAACATTTCCTGTAAAATCCTGTCTGACAATGCTTTTGTCCCGGTTTCGGGGATTTTCTCTCTTCAAGCCACATTACAAAGCCACTGACTACTGATCCAGGCAGTGCTGCTACCTTTGGGTGTTTTAGGGAACTTCGTCCAATCTCAGGGTAACGTAGTACAATCACCGCAGCTCTTTTGTTATTCGTCAGATTGAAATATTTGAATGCCAAATACATTTGCTGTTACAGTGCCGCGCCGGGGCTTCGCCCGGGCCTCGCCGCCCTTGGCGAGCGCCTGTTGGAATGCCTGCCGCACTGAACGTGTTAAGAGAAAATATCATGAATGATAAGATTTCATTTAGGCTTAAATCAAACTATATTTACGACACTTAAATTAAGATATTACAGGGAGGGACAGGTGTGATTGAAACAATAGCATTCACTGAAATAGCAGACACTGATAGGGAAACCCTTGCACGGTAGGCCTACATCACCAGCCACTTTGACTGGCAGTCTAGACACCATTTCCACCAATCACGTCGTGTCCCTCACCATACAGTATTAATTTTTTTGTCACATTAATGTCCATATTTTTTGTTTCTAAACGTCATGGTATTTTAGGTGAGGTCAATACTTCAGTATGATGAATATTTTTGGGCATCACTCACCTTATTGAAATCAGGAGAACACAGTCCTTGTCATATCACAGTTCATTACACGTACACATTGATACAAAAATAAAACTAAATATGAAATCACAGACTAAAGTTCTCAACTCCGACGTTTCGCCGCACCAATAAAAACTTGACTGAAGTGGTTGTAGGCCTATATAATGTATTAAATATGTAACTGAAGTCGTGGTTAGGCGCTCACAACGTTTACGTGAGAAGACAAAATAACCTTGAAAACGCCGCACGTTTTTATTGGTGCGGCGAAACATCGGAGTTGAGAACTTTAGTCTGTGATTTTATATTTAGTTTTATTTTTATTTTTGTATTTTTGTCAGTGTGTAGGCCAGTGTTTCCCAACCTTTTCCTGTTTAGGGCACACTAACTAGAACACGTTTGTAGTCACGGCACACTTTGTCCATAAAAATATCGTTGGTTAAAATTTCATTTAGTAAGCGCATAAAAAACACTTTTTTCAATTACATCTTACTCCGCAAAACCTGTTTTTTTGACAAATGGTTGACAAGGAGACTCTCATATCGTCTTCCAAAAAACTTTAGTTGAGAACGGGTTTTGGTCTTGATTGTATTCACAGATGAGAATGCAGCTTCCCAAATGTACGAAGTAGAAAAGGGCAATATTGCTTATCATGGCCTTCTTTGAAATCAACGGATACTCCTTTAGAAAAGTAATTAAAAAAGATGAGATATCAATATTCACTTTGGTTTTCTTCAGTTTTGATTCTGCTTCGGCATCTTCAACTAATTTGGAGTAGGCCTAGGCCCTACTGTAGCTTTAAACCACGATTATTTTTCAAGTCGATCAGCTCACTTTCTTCATCAGTCGTAAACACTGCAGTCTTGTAATCAGTTTCAATGAAAGGATTTCTCACCCAGTCCATTGAGGAAATATCAAGGGATGAGAAGTACTTTTTTATATTTCCTTCAAACAGACGCAGACTGAGTTTTCTTTCTTCACTCTTCTGATGAAGTCCCTAACTGGGACGAAATATTAAGTGTTTCTGTGTTGTGTCACGTTTTTTATGTGTAATGAATGCTAATCTGGACTCTGTCTAACAGGTAAGCTAGCTGATCCTTGTACTAATGATCCTAATCAGCCAATTGGCCTTTCCTTAACTCCTAACCTTTTACGAGATCAAAATTTTTTTACTACTTAAAATTTTGCGGCACACCTACAGAGGCCTACCGGCACACCAGTGTGCCGCGGAACACCGGTTGGGAAACACTGGTGTAGGCCTACGTTTAATGAACTGTGATATGACAAGGACTGTGTTCTCCTGATTTCAATATGGTGAATGATGCCCATAAATATTTATCATACTGACATATTTTTTGTGTGCATGTGCTAGGCCTAAGTTATTTATTATTAATGCTGGCACCCTTCAAATGAAGCAAGAAGAAATCTTAGAACTGGCCTGAAGATGACTCATACTGTATGTGAGTCGAAACTAGTTGCCATACTGAAGTGTTTCAGATTGCGTAAGTGCAGGTTTGCACCAATTTGTAGTGTCGTAGATTGTTTGTTTATGGATATATATTTGTATAACATTCTCAGGAAATTTCATTACTTTTTTGTAGATATTTTACATCTAAATAAAACCAAAATTTTTACGCTCCTCACTTCACAAAGACGATCAAGGGTTAACTAAATAGGCTAATGTTCTTGCAAGTGTTTAGATACCATATATGTTTATATACAATTAATTTTTACTTTCAGGTGTCATCCCTGCCCATAAGAGTTGCCAAGAATTTGTTATGAAAGAAAGAACAAGCCAGTATCATGATCTCTTCCGCTGCCTTCAGACACTCAATATTGTTACTGATGGCTCACCTAAAGAACAAATCGTTTTGCAAATGTGGCTCTTAGAGAAGTTCAATTTGATGTTTGATAGGGAAGCACAGGTAAGCATGTTAGAAGGATTTGATAGCTCTAGATAAAAGAATAGTTTTGACGGACAAACGGTGTTTTAGCAAGTCTCTCAGCCTGCATAACAGTTGTCTCTAGATTATCCGACAGGTAAAGCATCTGTAGGGTGTCTAATCACCAAAAATGTTAGGCTATCAAAATTTGTGTTTTCTCAATGTATTAGATGAAGATTTGCACAGGACATCGCCATTATTTCCTAATGCAGTATTAATAACTAACTATCATAAGCCCTGAATATTAATTGTCTGTCGACTTGATGGACGATTTGGTGTACATTGACAGATTTGTCTTTTATTTTATTTAATTTTAGTTAAATATTGACATTTCATGTTAAGGTAAATATACAGGGTTATTCATAAATATGGACCCAACTTCATGACTTTCCATCTAAAAGGTATAAATCGGATAGGCCTACCTAGGCATACACTTTACACCATTAAAAAGAGGAAATTTCAAAGTGTTTTGACCATTAGTTCTGTAAACAGCCGAAAATTTATCGCGACAATGGGCAGCCATTTTGTTTACCATCTGTTGTTAAATAAATAAATAAATAATGAATAAAAATGCCTTTATTTATCAAGCGTTTCTCAGTACAACTGCTTTTCAGAACAACTTTCGTCAATAACAATAACTAAACTAACAAATAAATAAATAGAACAATAACAAAACAGAAATAATACAATATAATAAAACAATGATAACTATCAGCCAGCGTACAATTTCAATACAATCAATCTTTTATCTTAACTCTAAAGGATGACAAGGCATATTTTTTGAGGCCAGAAGGGAGGTCGTTGTAAAGCTTTGGGCCGAAGTACGAGAAGCTTCTCCTTCCAAACTCAAGCCTCACTCTTGGAAAGTGAAGCTGGAGTCCTCCATGTCGGGTACTGCGCATCCTCCCGGAAAGAGAGCCTCTCAAGAAGGTACTGTGGCTTCTGTAGGACAAGAGCCTTGTGCACCATGCAGCACGTCATGATCCTGTAAACAGTGTTCACCGTTATTGACAGATTACCACCACCAGATTACCTGTTTATCAACAGATACCGTTAATAAGATGCCTACCATGTGTACCATACAACATAAGATTTCCTGTGTGACAAAGATTGGAAAAACTGAGTCTATACTATTACGGTGAAGTGGGCTTCTCGCATCGATCTCAGTAATCAACCACCAACTGGAAAAAGCATAACTCGTTGGTGTAGGCAATTTCAAGAAATATGTGACACAGGAGATGCTGTTTGGTTTGTGGGATGAATTCAGCTATCGCCTAGATGTTTGCCGTGCAGCATAGGGGGGCACATTGAGCATTTGTAATCAGTGTAAATAAAACTTTGAAATTTTCTCTTTCTAACGGTGTAAAACTAATTTGTTTCCGATTTATACTTTTTGAGATACAAAGTCCCAAAACTGGGTGCTTATTTTCAAATAGCCCTGTATTATAAAAGACAAGACACAGGACATAATAAAAAAATATTAAATAAAAAAAATAGGCTTAGGGAATCAAGTGTTAAGGGTTAAAACTACATAGTTGTTTTAAACCATTAACCCCGTTGCTTTGTTTATTTTCTAGCTTAATCAGGAGTTCCACCAACACTTGCTTGCAATCACCCGAACCCTTATTAGCGTATTTGAAAGTGATGTTGACGTTTATTGGATAGCCAAAGGATTTTATGAGTACCTGAAAACATGGTATAGTAATATACCTTTTTTGATTGAAACGACAAAAAGCGTTCTTAAAAGGGAAGACACAACACTGTACAGGTAGGTTAAACAGTATAACTATAACAGTTATACTTTACTTTTATACTTTCTTATGAAATGCCTTAAAATACATACAAAGTAGGTATTTTAAGCCAAGTATGAATGGAGATGAGTGTAGGATGAGTGGCGCCATCTTGTAGTCTTGCCGTATTAGTACAGACAAGTTGAACTTTTTTTATTTCACTGGCAAAACAATTAGTGATGGGGGGATCTTAGCTGATCGGGGATTTAGCTGATCTAAACCTGTATTAAATAAACAAAAAACTAAATATATTAATTTTTCCGCTAGGAAAAACGGGTCTGTGGTAAAGAATGTTTGTCTTAATGATTCCTTTATTGATGAAGTTAAGGAAACAAAATTCCTTGGTTTAACTGTTGATAGACTTCTTAGCTGGAACACTCATGTATCTCAAGTTTGTAAAAAAATGTCAACAGGTCTTTTCATCCTTAGAAAATTATCACCATTTTGTGATATTAAAACCCTTAAAGCAGTTTATTTTGGTATGTCGGTTTATGGTAACACCTCTAATGAAAATTTAAACATAATACTTACATTAAAAACAAGCAATAAGAATAATAATGAAACTTAAGTGGTTTGAGTCAGCCAGAGAACATTTTTCAAATTTAGGAATAATGACAGTTTACAACCAATTAATCTATGATCTGATTCTGTGAATGAAAAAAAAAATCAAAATAGTCTTTGTATGCTAGGTTCTAACCACAGAATGAAACTAAAAATAAGAATAATTTTTGATTTAATAGACATAAGCTAACGTTTTATGAGAAGAAGCCAACATATTCAGGCATCAAATTTTATAATTCATTACCAGAAAACATAAAAAAATGTATAACCGATTTCGGGTCCTTCAAAAAGAAATTGAAGTAATTTATTATTGTTAAACTTTGTACAGTTTTAATGATTTTTTTTCAGCATATGTTCTCTGTAATAGTTAATTTGATTTCTTACAGTGATAACAATTTTTAATTTATTATTGTATTATATATACTTGTACTTACAAGTTTATACTAGTACTTGTTGACACCATTCTGTACTCTATGTGTACATAATGAATAAAGACAATTTTGATTTGATTTGATCTAAGAAAATTTCGGTACCGGATCCGAATCTGGATCTTGAACAAATCGGATCCGAATCCAGATACGTTTTTTTTTCTTCAAGGACAGGTTTTTAAATAACTCTTATGGCCAGGCAATGTCAAAGACTATTTGTCTCCATATACAAGACTGTCTGTGTCCATATACAAGAATGTCTGTGTCCATGTACAGGACTATCTTTGGACACAGATTGTCTTGTATATGGACTCTGATAGTCTTGTACATGGACACAGACAGTCTTGTACATGAATACAGATAGTCCTGGGAGAGTCCTGTACATGGATACAGATAGTCTTGTACATGGACACAGATAGTGACTATTAATTTTATTTTAAAATACATTACTCTGATAAAACACTTGTACATGGACACAGATAGTGACTATTAATTTTATTTTAAAATACATTACTCTGATAAAACACCTGTTCTTATGTATGAATTGTACTTTATATACAATATCGTACTTTACAACTTAATAAAGGACATTTTGTGTTAGTAGAATTTAAAAAATTTATCCATTAAAAATGGATCCAGCCCAAGATCCGATTTTTTGTGGATTCGATCGGGCGTCAGTTCCAGCTCAGATCCGGTAGTCCGATAACCGAATCCGACCATCACTAAAAAAAAAAACAATCCAATCCTACTTGCGCTTCTCATTTTAGGCCCATTTCTATTCTGCCAGTAATGTAAAAAATATTGGAAATTGTTTGTGAGCAGTCAGTTTGTTTTTTTGGAATCAGAGAAGATATGCCTACTTCCAGAGACTCAGTCAGGTTTTCGTCGTGGTTTCAGTACTTGCTCAGCACTCTTGAACATTGTGGATGAACTGTTATCTGCTGAAAATGAGGGATATGAGAGTTTTGTTACAGGATTGGACTACTCACAGGCTTTTGATTCTTTGGATTATTATCTAGCAAAACTTCATTTTTACTGATTTGATGCAACTTCTGTAACCTGGTTTTCCTCTTACCTAAGCAATTATTTTCACAACTAAGGTTGATCTTAAATCGTCAGACTCTTTGCCGAAGGTTAGAGGCAACCGCAAAGGTAGTTGCCTAGGGCCTATCCTTTTCTTGTTATACACATCTGACCTTGGGAGTAATTTAAAATAGTAATTTAAAATTTGTGCTTTTCATTCTTATGCAGACAACACACATCTTATCGCTTCCTTTCCATTTTCAAATTTCTTCAACGCAAAACAAAAAACTGTTGTTGTTTTGTAAAACTTCTCTCAAAAACTGTTTGTAGCCTAACTAATTGAGGTTCAAAGTTAAAAATCAGAATTTTTTTCATGTAGCCTATAAAATATTCTAATTTTCTCTGTTTGAATTTTTCAGCCATTTAACAGAGAAAAACTTGCTTAACAAGATACCGATGGACAGGTGGTTTGGAAGGTGCTTTGCTGGTGTGCTTCATGATACTTCGTTGATAAGGTGACTACGCTGAATGAGTTCCTAACTAACACTTAAACTTCTTATAAAATATAAACTATTTAAGGTAGACTTGCAGTTTGTTGTTGTGAAATGTTTATTGAATATACATACATAATTTATTCAGTAACAAAAAATATGTAAACATAAACTCAGCAGAATGTGATGTCATCAAATGATGGGACATCGGTAACCTACAAGCGTCCCCCATGAGGGTCAGGTGTTTTATTAGCACTGATGATATCGTTCACTAACTCACCCCCAATCTCTAATTCAAACCACTCTCAAACATGCTTTATTTCAGTATAATGAGCTAATAGTAGTTTACCAAATGATTGTGTAAAGATAGGTAGTGTTAACGACACGAGTAGAAAATTTAAGGTATGAACCTTGGTGAGTGCCTTAAAAACTTCTATGAGTGTCGTTAAACCTATTTACGCAAGTTGCGTACTCTACTTTACCTACGACAGTGTTTTAATTACTAAAAAACACTACTCATAACTTCTAAGAGAGGTTATGTTTTCGGGCCTGAACAGCTGATTAGTTGAAGTTTGAATCATTACAATTTTACTTCTTCTCTCTCAATCCTTGAACTTAATTGGTCCGTTACCCGTGTTGTTATGAGTAAAACTATGCTGTTATGAAAAGTAAACAAATCTGAATGTGAATTATGTTATGTGTTAGAATTCTAAGAACTGAACTGAAACCGCTTCTTTAAAAACTGGTCGTAGGTAAAATAACTTAAATTAACTACTATAGTACAATAAAAACACACTTTGTCCCCTACACACACGTATAAAATGGGTGTGGCTGATAGATGACAGATTTCACTTGCGTACAACAGGTTGCACTACAAAAACTGAGAAGAATATTTCTTCACACACGAAAAATCGCCCTCTTCCGAACGAGCCTCAGCTCTTGTTGTAAAGTAGGTTGGTTGGGAAGCAAGCATCCCAGGTGCATGTGCCGTGGGATCGCAATGGGAAGCCAGCGGCTCACAGATAGTCGATGTGTTAACTTATTTGTTTCGAAGAAAAATCTGTTTTTTTTTCAAGATTATAAATTATCAAATTGAATAAATCTTTAAGATTCGTAGTGTAACATTTTGTGTTTCTCAAGCCAAAGTGCTTTTTCCCATTGAAGTAAGCCTATTACCTACCCTTAATAAGTTAGGTTACGTTTGTTTCAGAGTGTGGGACAAAATCATCGGAGGATCCTACAGAGTCATGATCTTCGTGTGTTCTGTTTTGTTGACAACAATGCGCAGAGTTCTGCTTACGTGTGCTAACATCACAGACATCCTATCTTGTGTTCAGTCTGTAAGTATTGTAATCCAGAGAATGGTTTGTCGTAATTCCTATTACTTCTTGATTTAATACATTTCACACCCATCACCTCAGGCCTATAAAGAAGTGAAAGTTTTTGAATGGAGGGCTCCGAAAGGTTGTATGTTAATGTTTCACTGCCTCGTATTGTAATCTGCTAGTCTCAATAACGCAGGACTTTACAAAGAATATGAATAAGGAATAGGCATATAAAGAATAATAAACACACATTAGGGTTAAACAAATGTAATTGTAATATTTTTGGTGTCTTTAATGGGTTTGAATAGTTTTCTCACAAAAGTGTTAATTTTGCTTAAAAAGAATGAATGAACGTTACACTAAAAATGTTTCCTTTTTAATTGAAACAACATGTAGCTTCTATGGATTTCTTAGAATAAAATACCCAATGTTGGTTTTATAATTTAGTCTTTACGCTCTAAAGAGCTTAAATGGTTTTTAAATTTGATTGTAATGTGATTGGTCACAGCTGACAAATGAAACAGCTGATGTGATTGTGAACAAGAGCTTGGAGATGTGGCAAAACCACGGAAGATCAGTCATGCCTTCTCCTGTCAAAGAACTACGGAACTCCGCTGCGGTTCATCCTACCAGAAAACCACTCTACCATTTGTAGACAGTCTGCAGCATCATCGTTCACACACATTCAAGTGAATATAGATTGAATTTTGTTTGGAGCTCAACTGTGAGTAAATTACGCTAAACAGCTGATTAATATGCCACATAAGCCTACTTTCAAAAGCATTGTCTACTAAGATTAAATATTTATTCCTAAATTAAATATTTATTCCAATAAGGCTATTCTTAAGCGAGAATCGCAACTAACTTTTCAATTTGCTACTGTAACGCTCTATAAATTAGTTGTTATGTCTTGTTTCAAAAAATGTATTTTTAAGATGTTGTCTGTAAATCAGCTTTAAGTACAATGGAGGCAGTGAAATTGTAAGATTTTAAAGACAATAAATTATATAAAATTGTTTATGTTAAATAGATTTTCAAATAGGATTCCTGGGTTCTTGAAGTTTATATTATGTTGAAGTTCACATTGGCAAAAGCATTTTAAATAACCCAGTAGTAGTTGGTTATTTAACACATATTAATGAAATTTGAAGTGGATATCCATGGGCCAATTAATTTGTAGCTTGCTAAGATTTTTCACTTTTTGAAATATTTACGTCTTTCAAATTTATATTGGTTTTCACTTAAAATTTACTGACCATCTCAATTTCATCAAGGTCAATTTATTATAAAAATTTTAAGTTTCATCCTTTACATTAGGTAGTGGCCCTCTAGAATATTACTTACAAAACAATCGTATGTGTTGATTATGAACAATATTGTTAACCATTTTTTCCTATGATCCTTTGAAATCTTGCCTTTTTACTGCCTTGCCATGATGTATGTAGCCTATAGTAATTTTATATTCAACTAAACAATTAGATTAAGAGCATAAATAATTCATACAGAGAATTATTTTTCAAAATATGAAATTATAATTGAAAGTTATTTAGTTGTAAAGTGTAGTACAATATTAACTGGTCCTATTTGTTAAGTTTTTGCCTGTCGTGTCAGGCAGTTTTGTGCTGGCAATGCTACTGTCAGTTACATCATTTTATTACATTTCAAATATTTAATTAGTTTGATACTCATTGTAAAACAATGAAAATTTTTTAAACATTTGATATCCAAAATGTTAACCTAACTTATAAATAACTCATGTAAGCTAATAAATTAACATGTTATTTACATTGGTTTTGCTTTATTTTAGTGTATTTGTGTACACTGATTCTGATTGATTTTAGTGTAGCCTATTTGTGTACAGTAGACCCCCTCTTAACCGACCCTAATGGGACCGGACCTAGGTCGGATGATTCAAAAGGTGGGATAAAACGGGCAATCCCTAAAATCATAACATAATAAAGTGCTATTCATTTGGAATTATATAATCATTATTTTGAAGTCATATTTGCATTATTTATAAAATAAACTACTCTTATCTCCTTTTTCATATTGATAGAAATGTCACAAATAAACACAAAACACGGTTAAGTCAAATAGGCCTACTTTCAGTTAATATATTATAATACTAGGCAAGAGTCAATAAAATTCCTATTTCAATAACTTTACTACTGCAATGTATTAATTAATGCTTTCCAAATACATCGTAATACAGTAAAGAACCTTTTGTCGTCATTAAAGATACAAGCGACCATTTTGTTAAAAGACAGGACGTTTATTTATAGCCTCTCACTGGAGGCTCGAGGCACAAAAACTATCTTGACCTTGGAGTTGTTAACACCCCTTCCCTGCCCTCCCTACAAGTTGCGTTGTTTGTTTACTCCAGCGATAAGATAATCAGTTCTCAAAATCGTAACGCACTTTATGATGTTATAAATTTGCCGCACAGATAACAAATCAGATCAGATGTGCTCGAGCTAAACGATGATGACAAACTGACAATAGGCTATGCTATATTTGTTGTGATCTTCACAAGATAACTTATTGTTAGTCATATCCTGTGGAGATAAGCGTATGGTTCAGTTCTCATCGCCCAGCGAGGGAGCGGAAATGCCGAGATTCCTAGAAAGCGGCGGTTAAACCGAGCTGCTCTCAAAGCAAGGTCGGTTAACACAAACTGTATTATTTTACGATCAAAGGCGGATAATCCGATTATCGGTTAATACGAGGTCGGTTAAGAGGGGGTCTACTGTACCAAAAAAAAATTACTAATAAATCTCTTGCGTTCTCTCACAGTTGATTGAGTATGATTAAGGAAGGTTTAAATCTTCCTTGTGTAAGTTTAAACGGTCTCAGGAACTAAGATCTTTCATAGGGTCTCTAATTTCATAAGATTTGAAAATATATGTGTTATCTGTGATTCCATCTTTTCCCCTGAATTACTTCAAGGCGTAATGTTTTTGATTTAGGTAATTAGTATGTTATTGAAGTAAAAACAAAATTAGGCAAATCTTGTGAATTAGGTAAGTCTTTTATCTTTCCGTTTGTGAAATAACTCCTGTAGTAAAATTGTTGTTAGCCCTTAGTTACTATCATGGTAAAAAATTACACCATTTTTATCTGATGTCTGTCAGACGTCTATTTTTTCAACTTTTGTTTCAACCTATAATTATTGTTCCACGAGTCTGGGTGTTATCTCGACCGTTTCTTTAGTCCTATAATGATGATTATTTTTAAATACGTAAATACCTTCAAACTCATGCACTGTCAAACACATTTTTAATTTTAAAAAAACAATACACTTTGTTGACATATTTTTTGTTTTAAGTTTTAGGTTGGAAATGATTTTGCAAATGACCAAATCTTTTACGATTATTTTGTATCATTAGTTTGAATTAACTTGACTATAGTTGGTTTTTAAAACAATTGTCTTATTTACCCTCATTTTTTACTTTAAAAACACAAAAATAACACGTAAGTACGCATTACGCATACACACATAGTAAGTAAAAACTTACACATACACTATGGTGCCGTCTGACGGACAGCATTCACTTTTGTTTGATATTTCCTTATTGTTCTGTTTTTAGTGCATTGAATTGTAATCTTTGAGCCTTTTAGTGATTGTTGGTATATGACATTTGAACAAATGGAGATATTTGCAAAATTATACAAATCTACACTATTACAACATCTAAATAAAAAAAGTGCCTTTGAAAGATTGGTGCATGACAAACGCATTCACACCAGATGCCACATCTACGATTGTGTAGAATACAATATGGCCATTGGCCATCTCTTTGTTCTTCTGTTGGACGAATACTTATTACATTTGAAATCTAGGTCTCATGTCTAGACGCCCTTTGTGGAGTCTCCTGCCCATGTGAGGCTGGACCAAGGATGCTGCCAAGTCTTTCATGAACTCCATTCTAGTGATTTTCTTTTAAGTGTCTTTGAAAGATTGGTGCATGACAAATGCATTCACACTGGATGCCACATCTACGATTGTGTAGAATACGGCCATTGGCCACCTCTTTGTTCTTCTGTTGAACGAATACTTATCACGATTGGTGCATGACAAATGCATTCACACCGGATGCCACATCTACGATTGTGTAGAATACGGCCATTGGCCATCTCTTTGTTCTTCTGTTGAACGAATACTTATCACGATTGATGCATGACAAATGCATTCACACCGGATGCCACATCTACGATTGTGTAGAATATGGCCATTGGCCATCTCTTTGTTCTTCTGTTGAACGAATACTTATCACGATTGGTGCATGACAAATGCATTCACACCGGATGCCACATCTACGATTGTGTAGAATACGGCCATTGGCCATCTCTTTGTTCTTCTGTTGAACAAATACTTATCACGATTGGTGCATGACAAATGCATTCACACCGGATGCCACATCTACGATTGTGTAGAATTCGCCCATTGGCCATCTCTTTGTTCTTCTGTTGAACGAATACTTATCACGACTGGTGCATGACAAATGCATTCACACCGGATGCCACATCTACGATTGTGTAGAATACGGCCATTGGCCATCTCTTTGTTCTTCTGTTGAACGAATACTTATCACGATTGGTGCATGACAAATGCATTCACACAGGATGCCACATCTACGATTGTGTAGAATACGGCCATTGGCCATCTCTTTGTTCTTCTCTTGTACGAATACTTATCACAATTGGTGCATGACAAATGCATTAACACCGGATGCCACATCTACGATTGTGTAGAATACGGCCATTGGCCATCTCTTTGTTCTTCTGTTGAACGAATACTTATCACAATTGGTGCATGACAATTGCATTCACACCGGATGCCACATCTACGATTGTGTAGAATACGGCCATTGGCCATCTCTTTGTTCTTCTGTTGAACGAATACTTATCACGATTGGTGCATGACAATTGCATTCACACCGGATGCCACATCTACGATTGTGTAGAATACGGCCATTGGCCATCTCTTTGTTCTTCTGTTGAACGAATACTTATCACATTTGAAATCCAGGCCATCAACTCCTCCCTTTGTATGGTTGTAAAATTTGATGATCTCCGGTTTTCCAGTGTCAGGGTCTTCATGTTGGGTATGATGCATAGAAGAAATTATAATTATAGATTTTTTTTGCTTCGGCACATATGACATGAGTGAGGTCATCGGTGAATCCGCAAATAGATGAAGACACAACCCACTCAGCATTCGGCTTGAACTCCTCAGGAATTTCTGTCTTATTTTTCTTCATTGTCCCTACATAGGTCAAATCTATCTTCTTTAACTCGTTAACAAGTTCGATGGATGGAAACCAGTTGTCGCCAGTAACGTTTCTGCGTGATCCTTCAATAGGTTTCACTAGTCTCAGGACCGACTGTTTTAGTTTGCCTAGTTTTCGGTCAGAAGCAGGTAGCCCTTTGCCATAACGATCTTTTCCACTGTAGACATAAGCATTATACAGGAATTGAGTGCGGGCATCAGTCATGTCCATAATTTTTATGCCATACTTTGCTGGCTTGTTCATCATGTACATGCGGAAGCGACATCTACCACAAAAGGCAATTAGCATTTCATCCACGCAAGCTGTTTCTCCAAAAGAATAACATTGTTGAGAGTTGTCGATTAAATTCTGACTGATGTTTGAGATGGCAGCGGCTGGGTCATCTTTTGCTCTATCTTGCCTATTGGCAGGTTTGTCAAACCTCAAGACACTAATCAAAAAAAGAAATCTCTCTTTAGAGAAAGTACATCTGAATACTTCACGACCTGTTCCGTCCTTAGCGTAAAATGACAACACAGACTCATTGTTTGCTTTGAATACAGAAGAGTAGATCAATAAGCCAATAAGGGCTCTCAACTCAATAATATCCACATCTTGAATAAATTAAAAATTTGTCCTCTTATATTTTTCACAAGTTTTGCTTATTTTTAGGTTAGTCCAGCGCAAGATTTCTTGAAGCATATCTTGAGTCATCAACAGTTCAAATATCTGTAACAGAGTCGGTTCATCACCCAAAGCTTTGGCTCTATCTTTTAGGGTGGGAACTTTCATAATTATATTGTGATTCCTTTGTCCTAACGTTGGAAGGAGGCTGTTTTTTTCTACATTTCAAAGCTGGTTTGTTCTTGGTTGCTTTACCATAATAGTAAATATGTTGACGCAGTTGGCCAGCTTCAGCAATCACACTTGAAATAATTTCCTCTATGTGACTGCATACGTCTTCATGCAACGGAATAGTATCTATCCCTTCCTCCTCGGTGTCATCGGCCACGTGGTCAATAGTTTCATGTATGTGACTGGATACGTCTTCATGCAATGGAATAGTATCCATCCCTTCCTCCTCGGTTGTATTGAACACGTCGTCTATCAGTTGGTCCTCTTGGTCCATCAGCTGGTTCCCTTGATCGTCCTCAAGTTGTGAATTGTCGTACAGAAGTAGTTCTTCTAATGTTTCTTCTTCTGGTTTTGAGTTCTGTCCAGAATCATTTAATTTTTTTTTTTTTTTGAGCAAGTCCATTTCCTGCTCAATATCTGAGTTGTGGTCACTAAGTTCATAGTTAGGATCGGCGTCCGTGTCGTCACTGCCAAAATCTGACAAACTGTCATCATCACCACCAATGATTTCGTATAGCATATGCTCCACGGACTGTTCATAATGTCTGTCATTTATGCTTACGCTTGTGCGTAACTGTCGTGAAGTTGAAGGTTCTTCTGAAGTTGAAGGTGTGCACTGTTTTACTGGCCATTTTATAAAAAAAATTAACTAAAAAAAATTAATACTTCAACTATTACTAACAAACGTCTAAGAGACACTATTATGATAAAAAGCCAACGTCTCTATTACTACCGAACGTCCAACAGACACTCCATTGTAACTGAAAAATAACATACACACTATCGTGACGTCTGAGAGACGTTGGTCAGTGATGAAGGGCGAAATAGTACACGCACACGCACAAGATCTGTTCAAGGCCACTTGAAAGGTACTGGGCCGGAACCAGTCTTGGCGGGAAGGGGAGGGGGGGAACCCACAGATCGAAAATTTTGCGACGTCTGACAGACACACAGACTGACAGAGGTGGTAATTAAGGGTTAAAAAGCTACACAAAGGATTTACAAGTTCGTTACTTTTATCTGTTTTGTTATTTTTAGTTATTATTTCTTGCAATGATGCATGGGTTATGTACTTCTGTAATCCATTGTAGATGTAGATAAGAAACATGATCCCAGGATCTTATGTCGCCCTACTCTATTATTACATTGTTTAATCCGTTTGCTATTCAACTATATCTATTCAGTTAGTACAATTATATTTATGGTTAGTTCTTAAGTTGGTTGTTAGTTTAATCTTCTCAAACAATCAAAAATTTAAAAATATGATTGCATTAGAATATATTTTCCATGTTCATGCATTTTTTCAAATTCTGTTGTATTATTTAATGATAAGGCAATATAAGACCTCAAATCTGGGGTTGAAATAGTTTCTTACGCACACATTACAGTATATCAATCTATTTTTGCTTTAGCTGTTACCGTTAGTTTTAAAAGATTTAAATCTGAGTCAGTTAAATAGTTCAGTAGTTATTTGGAATGATTAAGACAGGCATTCGGGCAAACCCTTGGTTTCCAATTAGATTTTAAACAGTAAATGATTTTATGCTATGATTTTACAAAATATATTTCCAAGTGTTGAACAATTTTTGATTCAATATGAACTTTAGGCCTATAGTGATATGCTTCTCACCCAAAAAACCTGGTTAATATCTTAAATACAAAAAATATCTTATTTTACCATGTATAAATTGACTATATTCAGGCCATAAAAGGGAAATTCTTAATGTTATTCACTCTTTGTCATTGGCATTTCTAAAGCAAGTTCTTGGGATATACTAAACCGTTTAGCCACAGAATTTAAAAGATGGTGAATAAAATTGATTACAATAATCTTAACCAACTTAATTAGCCCTATGAATCTAGTTAAATGCGTGGTGAAAGATTTTCAGAATACAATCTTCAAAAACGTAAGCATTTTTTCGATTTATGATCCCCCATGTGAAAAGAACATTGAAAAGTAACAATACAAATGGTAGATAGATGTGTTTACATGCATTGAAAAATTATTATAAACCACATACATTAAATTTGGTCAAGTCCAAACAGTTGATATATCTACCATGATAAATTATCTCCAACATTTTTTAGGATAAAGCATTTTTTAAGACTTTAAAAGTATGTTTTCCATGATTGGTTTGCCCGAATGAAAACGTT